ACGTCGCGCGGCGCTTCCCCTGGCACGTCCCTCGGCACGTCCATTGGCACGTTCCGTAGCGCGTCCCCTTGGCACGTCCCGCGGTGCGTGCCCATGGCACGTCCCCTGGCACGTCGCCTGGCGGTACGAAGGATGATCGAGGTTTCCGCAGGCCGCGTCCTCCCGGCATTGTTTCAACTCTGTCGATAGTTCTGGGGCGGCAGCTTTCACCATTTTTACCTTATTCTTCTTTTTTTTTTTGTTTTTTTTTTTTTTGCATTACTCTTTCCTTTATGCTTTTTTTATTGCTCAGGCAGCTCGAGCTACGCTCCAGATCAGTTCGGTGAGGACTCGGATGCCAGGGAGGACTCGATCCACAACGCTATATAGAGCACAATAGCGGCATGGCACATCGCAGTTCAGCGCGGCGTAGCACAGCACAGCCGTCGGCACAGTACATCATCATCGATACATTCAGCATTGCATGTGCCCGTCGCCCAATCAGGTGTCTTTGAAATGTTGCAATGCCTTACATTTCTAGATTCCTTTCCGGGTTCGTGGGTCGATCATGTTTTTTCACGTGTACAGGGCACCCAGGTGGGTATCTAACATGAGAGTCCCGAGCTGGAATCAAGTGTTTCATTTGTCGAGGCCACCCATGGGGTGTCTAAGATGGTGGTCCCGCGCTGGAACCACGTGTTTTCACGTGCCCAGGTCGCCCAGAGGGTGTATCCAACATAGTGGCCCCGCGCTGGAACCGTGTGTTTTCACGTGTCCACGCCACCCAAGGGGGTATCTAACATGGTGTTCCCGAGCTGGAACCACGTGTTTTCACGTGTCCAGGCCACCCAGTGGGTATCTAACATGTTGTGCCCGCGCTGGAACCACGTGTTTTCACATGTGCAGGCCACCCAGGCGGGTATCTAACATGGTGGTTCCGAGTTGGAGCCATGTGTTTTCACGTGCCCACGACACCCAGGTGGGTACCGAACATGGTGGTCCCGCGTTGGAACCGCGTGCTTGCACGTGTCCACGCCACCCAGGGAGTATCCAACATGTCGGTCCCGAGTTGGAACCACGTCCCACACAGGAGGGTATCTAACATGGTTGACCCCAGCTCGAACGACGCGTACGCCCCCCTGGCATGTCGCCTCGCACGTTCCCTGGCACGTTCCGTGGCGCGTCCCGTGGCACGTCCATCGGCACGTTCCGTAGCGCATCCCCTTTGGCATGCCCCGTGGTGCGTCCCCATGGCACGTCCTTTGGCACGCCGCTTGGCGCGTCCCTTGGGACGCTCCGCGGCGCGTCCTCCTGGCATGTTCCCCTGTCGATTAGCTCTGGGGCAACTACTATGTGCTCAGGCAGCTCGAGCTTAAGATCCAGATCAGTTCTCGGATGCAGAGGATGACTCGATTCACAACACTATGGAGCACAATCGCGGCATAGCACATCGCAGTTCAGCACGGCGCAGCACAGCACAGCCTTCGGCACGGTACATCAATATCGATACACTCAGCATTGCAAGTTGGCACGTTCCTTGGCACGTTCTTTGGCGCGTCCCGTGGCGAGTCCCCCTGGCACGTCTCGCGGCGCGTCCCCTGGCACGTCCCGTGGCACGTCCATTGGCACGTTCCGTAGCGCGTCCCCTTGGAACGTCCCGCGGTGCGTCCCCATGGCACGTCCCCTGGCACGTCGCCTGGCGCGTCCCTTGGGACGTTCCGCGGCGCGTCCTCATAGCATGTCCCCTTGTCGATTAGCTCTGGGGCAACTACTATGTGCTCAGGCAGCTCGAGCTAAAGATCCAGATCAGGTCGGTCAGGACTCGCATGCAAAGGAGGACCCTATCCACAACGCTAAAGAGCACAATCGCGGCATGGCACATCGCAGTTCAGCACGGCGCAGCACAGTACAGCCTTCGGCACGCTACATCAAGATCGATACACTCAGCATTGCAACTTGGCACGTTCCCTGGCACATTCCGTGGCGCGTCCCGTGGCGCGTCCCGTGGCGAGTCCTCCTGGCACGTCGCGCGGCGCGTCCCCTGGCACGTCCCGTGGCACGTCCATTGGCACGTTCCGTAACGCGTCCCCTTGGCACGTCCCGCGGTGCGTCCCCATGGCCGTCCCCTGGCACGTCACTTTGCGCGTCCCTTGGAACGTTCTGCGGCGCGTCCTGCTAGCATGTCCCCTTGTCAACTCAATTAGCTGTGGGGAAGCTTCTATGTGCTCAGGCAGCTCGAGCTAAAGATCCATATCAGTTCGGTCAGGACTCGGATGCAAAGGAGGACCCGATCCACAACACTATAGAGCTCAATCGCGGCATGGCACATCGCAGTTCAGCACGGCGCAGCACAACACAGCCATCGGCACGGTACATCAATATCGATACAATCAGCATTGCACTTGCCCGTCGTCCAATCAGGTGTCTTTAAAACGTTGCCATGCCTTGCATTTATGTATTCCTTTCCAGGTTCGTGGGCCGATCAAGTTACGCGTCCAAGTCACCCAGGGGTGTATATAACATGGTTGTCCCGAGCAGACCACCGGTTTTTACGCGTCCAGGCCAACCGGGGGTATCTAACATAGTTGCACAGAGCTGGATCCATTTGTTCCCGCAAAGGGCTTCAGGCCCAGGTTTACAGATTTCCCCCCGGTTTTGACGGGAAGAGGGCCGGCGGATTTCTTTTGCGATAAGTAACGAGTGGGAAGAGGGCCGGCGAATTAAAATTTCAGGATGTCCCTAGCGAAACGCTTGTTTTTCAGAATTTGTTGAGGACGTCTCGAGCGAAACGCTTGTTTTGTGTTATAGATTGTCTTCTCCTGGGGACCTGAATTCAGAGGATCTCTCAAGTGGATTGCTTGTTTTCACGTGCCCAGGTCTTGAGGATGTCTCGAGCGAGACGCTTGGTTTCACGCCTCCAGGTGGCCCAGACAGATGTCTAGCATGAGGATTTGTTGAGGATGTCTCGAACCAGAGGCTTGTTTTCGCGTGTCCAGGTCGCCCAGGCGGATGTCTAGCATGAGGATGTGTCGAGGAAGTCTCGATCGAGACGTTTGTTTGCACGTTTCCAGGTTGCCCATGCGGATGCCTAGCATGAGGATGTGTTGAGAATGTCTCGAGAGATACGTTTGTTTTCTCGTGTCCAGGTCGCCCAGGCGGATGTCTAACATGAAGATGTGTTGAGGATGTCTCGAGCGATACGTTTGCTTTCACGTGTACAGGTCGCCAAGGCGGATGTCTAGAATGAGGAGGTGTTGAAAACGTCTCGAGCGAAACGCTTGCTTTCACGTGCCCAGGTCACCCAGGCGGACGTCTCACATGAAGATGTGTTGAGGATGTCTCGAGGGACAAATTGTTTTCACGTGTCCAGTTCGCCCAGGCGGATGTCTAGCATGAGAATGTGTTGAGGATGTGTTGAACGAAACGTTTGTTTTCACGTGTCCAGGTCGCTCAGGCGGATGTCTAGAATGAGGATTTTGACAGGATGTCTCGAGCGAAACGCTTGTCCCCAGCACGTTCCGTAGCGCGTCCC